TCTATGCATACGTGTGTGTGTGTGTGTGCAAGTGCACACATCCATGCACACAGGCAGAGGCCAGAGGAAGATGGTGGGTGACTTCCTCTATTGTTCTCTACCTTATTCTTTGAGACAGGGTCCCTCCCTGAACCTGAAGCTCTTCATTGCAGCTAGGCTGTCTGGCTAGCAAGTTCCCAGGATCCACCTGTCTCTCCTCCAAACACTGAGGTTACAGGCATGTAAGGCCTTGCCTGACTTTTCATGTAGGTACTAGAAATTTAAATTCAGGTCCTGTTGCTTGCACATCAAGCACTCTTACCTACTGAACTATCTTCTTAGCCCCCCAACTTCATTCTTTAAAAAATTAAGAACATTTTTATGTTGATTAATCACAAGTAAACCCAAAACACAGACTGTTCAGTCAAGTTCACCTAGCTCTATTTCTTTTCAGACATGATTAATAATTTTAAAGAGAAATTGGCTGTAGTAAATAAATTCTACCAATTGTGAATTTGTGATAACCTAAAAATGTATTATACAATGCTGATTCAGCAAAAATATCTTCATAATTTCAGGTTCCGCCAACTCTTTGTTAAATAGAGAATATTTCATAATTTTCATATTTTACTAAATAGTTCTTTGGACACTCTAAGCATGACTTTTAATAGTTAACACATTTTAGTTGTGTTATTAACCTAATAACTATAATCTCGGAAGTCATTTCTTTAAAAAAATTCATTATTTTAGATGTTTTGATATTTTAACAAAATCCCTCCCCTCAGTACAAACCTATTTCTGAATTTAAAAGTTTTATTAATATGAATGCTTCTGTGGTCTCATCTTGTTTATAATTGAAGGATTCTTACTTATTTTTAAGCATGTTCTTGAAGACAGTCAAAGGATTCAAGAATAGATTAGCGTCTTAGTCACATGAATTTTAGATTCAGTTATCTGATCATGTCCGACAGCATCATCAAAAGGCTCACTTTAAGATTTTCCCCTCAAAACAACCTTGATAATCAATACCCTTACAAACTTCTTAAGTACATAAATATACATTATTGAGACATTTGCATGTTGTAATAAGCTCTCATCAGTATAGTCTGGGTTTAAAAATAGTTTAGTTTCCATTCATTATAAAATCTTTTCTATTTGTGCAGAATTGGAGGTCTGTTTACCACTCAGACTAGAATAAATAACATGAAATCTTCCACCCGTATAATTAACATTGAAGAAGTAATGCTGTTAATAAGTATATCATTAAAAAGCATTTGCCCATTAACAGTTAGTACAGTTTACACTCAGCACCTTAATAAACAACTTACATGCACTCTAAACACATATTTAAGTACACAACCCAATTACATTTTAGAGTTGTCTTCAAGAATGTCTTAGGTTGTATCTCAATCCATTGTTTTTACATTAATTTAAATTAGCCATAAGTGAACTGTTCAAACTTGCATTTTAATTTACTATTAGGTAAAATAAAACACATAAGAATACCTACCTCTTTGGAGTTTCATGAGGATTAAATGAGATTAGCTATGTAAGAGGACACAAAACAACACCCAACCTGTAGCAAGCACTCAATAAACACTAGCCATTATTTTTATCACTATTGTCCTCTAAACATACATATTAAGAACCAAGCCACAAAATCTTTTCTATCTGTGCAGGTTTCCCAGACCTCTAATCCCAGGTACTTGGAAGGCTGAGAGAGAAGGGTTACAAGTTCAAGGCTTGCCCAGGATACAGAGGGAGTTCAAGTCTCAAAAAAAAAAAATGTGCTGGAGAGATGGCTCAGTAGTTGAGATTACTTGCTGCTCTTTCAGAGAACCCGGGTCCAGTTCCCAGCATACACATCATGGTTAACAACCATTGATAACTCCAGTCCCAGGAGATCTGACATCCTCTTGACTTCCAAGGGCACTGAACGCACATGGTGCACATACATACATGCAGGCAAAACACTCATGCATATTAAATGAAATATTTTTTTAAGACTAGAAAGTGAACTTGGAATATAGCTCAGTGGACGAGCATTTGTCTGGCATACCTAAAGCCCTAGGTAAAATGGGAAGGCAGAGCAAGAATTCACATATATAAGAAAGCAGTCAAATAAATTCAATTCCTCCATATATAAACTGGATCAATGGGCGGGCTCAAGCAAGATAGTGAACCGTTATATTCAAACTGTGGGCTTCAGCATCTATATATTAGACCTTGCACTGCTTCTCACTGCCAGCATATAGCTGGCCTTGAACAAGCAAAAGAACAATCTGGCTACTCACACTATATCACATTAATATGTAAATTCACCACTCCAACAAGAAAAAAGTCACAAACAAGTAGTTCATTCATGATTCATTTTATTCTTAACAAACCAGACTTGTTACCCCAAAATCAGTTTTACAACTACAGCTAAATGAATTAAATGCATTCAACTCCAAATGCATTCAGTGGTGTCAAAAAAACCAACATATGCAAACTATCTGTAAGGAAAAATATGGTTAGTTGACTAGGGTTGAATTCTTAAATAATAAGGAAATAATTAAATGCATCATTATTTTGAAGAGAACAAGCTTAACTCATGAGCAAACAATTTGCACAAGTGAAGAGCCTTGTTTCTTGACTGCATTCAGTTACTGCACACTTGGTCAAGTGCTAAAATGCAAATATGTATGTGTAAGGGAGAAGTGTTACATTTTTAGAGAACTTTATGATTATAAAATTCCTGAATAATAAAAAGTTAAAAGGTTACAGTGAAATATAAATTCTGGGTTTTTTTTAAACTGGGCTGAATCTCTTAACAAAATAGAGAACTCCTTTTTCCCTAAGGTTGGGTTATAATTAGAAATTAGATTCTTCAATAATTCAATGACTGAAATCTTTATTAAGGTCAAATGACCTTTCTAATTAAGTTTGCTCCTTAATATATAAGGCCTGCTAGGTAAGTACAACCCTGTAGCTAATAAAGGCTTACATACTGATTAATGAGCTTGTTCCTCTAAGTTCATTATTCATTATTTTCCTTATCATCCTAACAGTAACTATTGATAAAACTTTTAAAAGTACAACAAAGCTGGGCGTGGTGGAACATACCTTTTATCCCAGCACCCGGGAGGCAGAGGCAGGTGGATCTCTGTGAGATTGAGACCAGCCTAGTCTAGTGAGTTCCACACCAGCTGGGGCTACAGAGAGACCCTGCCTCAAAACAAAACAAAACAAAAAAGTGCAAATTACTAATGCATTCTGATAAGTGCTCTGATTTTTATATTTATAATGTCCCTTTTTTCATTCTATTATGAAAAATAAAGACTATTTTATTCTGCTATATCTCCTTTTTTATTCTTGTTATAATAGAATACAGCTAATGAGGGGAGATGTACACCATTTTATTCTAGCATTGAGAAGACTACAGTCCTAGAGAGAATAAGGTATATGCATAAAATCTACACTGAGTTCAAAAGCTCTGGCCACAATGTATAATACAGGCTCATCCAGGTATATATGAAAGATGCACCAAAATATGGTAGTTGCATCTGAAATAAAATCGTTTTTAAAACTGTCTTTAAATAACTCCATTTCTCAGACCAGAAGTCTGAGATGACGTAGGCAAAATGTTTTGCCATCATTTTTGCATTGATCAAAATGAATTATTAAACGAAGGCAAAGTTATTAAGTGAATGACTCAAGGATTAGCCAATTGTCAGCAATTCCACTTTTTTATCTTTCTAGTTCACGTTGAAGCAAGAATATAATGAAGTGAATCATCTGAAGAAAAGAAAATGCACTTTAGATACTAACACCCCCAAAGGAGAAGTGGGCAAGGCCAGCTTTACAGTTTACACATCGACCAGCAATATATTACAAAGAGAAAGAAGGATGGGAGCAGGAACGTTTGACATCGCAAGTCGCTCAGAAACCAAATAAAAGAATAAAGCACAAGCTCTGATTGCCCCCCTCCAGCCCACCGTATTGTTGTGTATTCTACAAGGTTTACTACTGGGGAACAGATTTCAGCTGTCATAATGCACTCCCGAAGCAAGGCCATTATGGTAACTTAATCCGTCCTGAATTGCTCACTGAAAGAAATGTTGATTCCTGATTTTTAAAAAAAATGAGTTCTTTCAGAATGAAGAGACATGAAGAAAGCCATAACTCTAATTTGGATTCTGAATGCCAGCTTGAAGACTGGCAGAATAAATAAGAGCTTGAGGAAAAGAAGAAGATGCTGGGGGGAGGGGGCACAGAGAGAGTGAGAGAAAGATGCTGGTCAGTTCTGAGATGATGCAGGAATGACATAGCACCTGGGCAGCACTAGTCACGGCTCCTCCCGCCAGTCTCCGCTTCTCAGCCGTGCCTGGAGCAGTGAATGGGTGCACACTCAAACATACCACCTTTTATTCCTCGACTCCCAGGGAGAATCGTGGGCAAGCATCTGCCAGTAAGCCCTCATCACAACAGAGATTTCTGAATCCACACACCCCGCCTCCCCAGCTAGGGGCAGGCGACGCTGACCCGACCGTCTCAAACAGTGGACAGCTGAGAGGACCCGAGAACCCAGGCGAGGGGAAAAGCGTGAGGGAGGAGGGGTAAAACCCCACAGCCTCAACGAGATCCTCAGGCAGGGTGACAGGAAAAAGAGGATGTTGAGACTGGGAAACAGAGAAGGGGACTGGAAAGCACCGTGCTGCGCATCCAGGCAGCCTGGGGCTGGCGCGCACGGAGCAGGGAAGTGGATCCCCGGGCGGACCCCGACTCCCCCACCGAGGGTGGAGAGGAAATGGCTTTGTATGGCAGGATGAAGGGCAGACGGGGGGGTCACCACGGTGGGGGGTGCGGAACCAAGGATGCCCAGAGCAGGGAGGACCCCGCCCGCTCCAGCGACACCACTGCTCTGCCCCCATTCCGCCGCAGCCTCGGTCCACCCTTGGCTCCCCACACCGGTCCACGTTCCAACGGCTTGGAGCAGGGGCGCCCCAGCCGCGCCCCCACCGCGCTCCCGGTGCGCTCACCTGCCCACGAAGTTCTCGAGCACCGAGCTCTTGCCGGCGCTCTGGCCGCCCACCACGGCAATCTGCGGCAGCTCCAGCAGGCAGCTCTGTCCCAGCGCCGAGAAGGCGTCCTGCAGACGGTTCACCAGCGGGATGAGCTCCTCCATCTCCCGGTTCCCCATCTTGCCTGCGCGGACAACTGCCCCACAGGTCCCTGCTCGCCTCTGCGACCTGGCAGGCAGCCCGGGCCTCTAGGCGCTTGTCCGCCGATGTCGCTGCGCCGGACTCAGACCCCTGGGTCCAGACGTCGGATCCCGGGTCCTGGTCGCCGGCTGCTAGGCTCCTGACAGCTAACGGCCCACAGAGCGCTTGCGCAGGCGAGAAGGGCGAGAGAGGCGGGGCCTGGTTCCGAGACGGCCACGCCCACGGCACGCCCCTCGCCTGTTCCGCCCCAGTGTTCCCAGCTCTACAGCCGCCGGCCAGGCGCGCTAGCACTGCCTCCCAGCTGCCGCCTTATGCCACCGCCTCTGTTTTCTGCCCCCCAGGCTAAAGGGCAAAGTAACCGCACTTGGTCAAGGAATGACCTAAAATCATCCCAGCTGGCAATGCCGCTCCTTTTCAAGCAGCTACCACGACAAAGCCCAGTGGACAGCACTACCATAAGCTAAGAACCCAACACTGTCACCAGCTGCAACATATGCGCATCCCCCCACCATCATCATCACTAACACCACCACCTCCACCACTGTACCATCATCATCTCTTCCACCTCCACCACCACTTCCACCATTGCACTTCATCACCGCCACCACCATTACACTGCACCAGAACTTACACTTCCAAAAAGGAAATCTCATGTATCACACCTATTCCTAAACCCCAGATGGCTGGGAAGGCAGAGATAAGTTGGTCTGATCTCCACTGGAGGCCCTGCGTTGTATTACCTTATTGAACTATTCACCTTCACTGATTTGTCCTTCCCATTCTCCCTCAAGCTAAGATATAGTCCCTTGAACTTTCTGTCCCCTGCCCCTTCCATCTACCATGTTCATTCTGACCTTTGGGACTCTTCATGCTAATCTATCTCCTGGATAGGATATGGCGATAGACTACATCAGATCTCTCAGTAATCATGTACTCTTGACCCCCTGGGTAAGTTCAACACACAGAAGATTCTGATAAAAGACCATGCTTCTTCACCTCCTCACAGGGCCCCTCTTTGCTGTGATCCTCAAATAGTAACACTTCTCGGGAATTAGTGTACAATATTTTCTTGTCTCATACATGAGATCCATTTGAAGATTTCCCTATGGCTTTAACTAACATAAAGGTTAGGCTAGAGACTATGTAGTCAACAAGAATCTCTGTTGCTAATTCAAGTCTCTCTCTTGTACCTTAGACTGTCCTCCATCTGAATTCCACGCCTCACTACCTGATTGTTCCACAACTAACTCAGGCTCAACCTATTTAAATTTTTTTGTTTTTTTAAAATAGTTTATTATATTTATTTATTTGAGGGGACACATGTTGAAGACTTGGGAGTCAGTTCTCACCTTCCACCATATGGGTTGAACTCAGGTTGTCAGGCTTGGCAGCAAGCACCTTTACCTGCTGAGCCATCTGGCCACCATGTTAGCCTTTTTTTTTTTTTTTAATGAGACAGATTCTTACTCTATATACAAAGCTGTATGCTGTCCTGGAACTAGCTACATAGACTGAGCTGGCCTTGAACCTATGGCAGTCCTGCTTCTGCCTCCTAAATGCTAGTATTACATACAGGCCTATTCCAACTTTTTTTGTTTGTTTGTTTGTTTTTTGAGTCAGAGTCTCCTGGTAGCCCCAGCTGTCCTGGAACTCACTATGTAGACCAGTTTGGCCTTGAACTCACAGAGATCCGCCTGCCTCTGCCTTCTGAGTGCTGGGATTAAAGGCATATACCATCATACCCAGCGACAATGATTTTTTTTAAAGCCTGGGTCTCACTATACAGCCCAGGCTGACCTCAAGCTCTCCATATTCCTTACTCAGTCTCTTGAACACTGGGAATTGAACTCTTGCCATTTTGGGCTTGAGCCTTTAACGGCTTCGATAGCTCTCCAGCCCCCTTTTGAATGCTGGAATCACAAGTGGGCACCACCACACCAATCTTTCCGTTCACCTTTTCTAATCTCAGCATTTAATGTTATATATTTACCTCTACTCTTACATTTTATTTATATAAATGTTCACAAAAAATTGAAAACTACCTAAATGCCCATCAACAGGTAAAAGAATAAACAAATGTGGTTATATACACAGTGAAGTATTCTCAGAAACAAAAATACACAGATTTCTGACATAGCAGCAATGGGTCTAGATCCAAGACATGTGGAAGAAAAAATATCAGAGTACACATTGCTAAATTTTATCAATATGAAATTTGTCAATGGGCAAAACTATTCTCTAGTGATAGAAACCAGAACTGTGGTTGCCTTTGAAGTGAAGATTGTGGAAGACATAGGGGAGATTTTTTGGCATCATAGAATTGTTCCACATTTTTAAATATTTAATTTTTATTATTTTCATTTTATTTTACATGTATGAGTGTTATGCCTGCATATGTGTAAGTGCACCCATGTAATTCAGTGCCCACAGAGGACAGAAGAGGGTGTCGGATCCCCTGGAACTAGAGTTAAGGATGTTAGCTGCCAAGTGGGTACTAGGAATTGAACACGATCTTCTGCAAGAACAGCCAATGTGCTTAACCATCTCTCCAGCTGGAACTGTTCCACATTTTGATTGGAGTATGGCTATACATTTATTCAGACGTGTCAACTAAACACTTATCTTTTGTGCAATTTTTTATATTAATTAGTTTAATAGTCAAATATTATACTACACCTTAACTTTTTAAAAAAATTTTAATAAGCTTTTGTACATTTCATAAAACAGTTTTTAATCAAATTCAGACCCCTTTCCTATCTATATCCCCCAGCAGACCTCATGTATTCCACCATACATGTTAAGTGCCATCCAGTCAAGCATTTGTACCTAGGTGTCCTTTGGTGCAAATTCATCCACCGGAGTCTACCAGTCAGCCTATCTAGAGATCATTGGTAAGGCCTACTTTCCCTCATCTAGTAGTAATTCGTCTCCAGTAGTTCCCAGATTAGGGCCAACCCCACATGCATTTCCCTCGCTCCACTCTGGGCCTTTGTCTGATTGAGTTGGCATGGGTCCTGTGCTTGATACCACCACTGACACAAGTTGACAGTAGGAGGGAAGACAAACCAAACAGAATGCATTATCATCTCTACTGAAGTGAATTCCTCCTAGAACATCTGTCCAGCACTCCTCCAGGAATCACTCCTCTATCTACCACAGTGTTGCAACCAAGGCAGGAGGACATGAAGGGCAATTAACTGGGCCTTGGCTACCACTGTGTGTACCACACACATTCAAACCACAGCATTTGGACCCTAGCCTCCATAGCTTCACAGCCATCTCAGAATGAAAAGTGTATTCAGTCCAAGGGAGTTAGTAGCCCCATCCCTCTAACTCTGCTGTTTACAACACACATTGGGTCTCTCTCGGACTGGCTCTACTCTATGCATGTACCTTTCCACAGGAGATGTCCCATGGTCTGGCATCTCCAGCATACTGGCATCTCCATTTGCAACTTGGGCTTCACCTTCACTACTTCCCACTATAGACCCTCAGGAATTCCTTGCAGGAACTCTGACCCTTCCTGACATGGCCTAGGCCAGCGGCTCTCTGGAACCATAATATAAGACTCCATGACTTCCTCAATCTTACATTTTTCATGCCTGCAAAACCAGTACAACGAGAACAACAGTGCAGATTTCTGCTGCTAACTTGGGATGCAGCCTGATCCCCTCAGACCACAGTTGCAACAACTTATGTGTGCTGACCCTGAGGAAATATTTCTCTAGGCAATTGCTCTCTAGGAACAGAGAAAACCTTTTCAGAGGCATTCTCAGTTTAGAATCTCTCTTTTTGAATGAATTTACATTTTCACAAATTTCTGTGACACCTTTCTTGTGGTCCCAGTCCCAAGTAGGTTTCCCTTTGACAGTTACAGCCTCTTTTTCAGCATGCACCTTGACTGCAACTTTAAACTTCCTCAAGCTCATTTCCTCAAAAAACTTCACATTTTTTAAATCTTTTTGCCTCACTTGTTGCTCTTTTTCACTATAGACCTGAACAAGAGTGGTAAACAATAACCATTCCATAGTCTGAATGTTAGCCTACCTTGAAATTTCCTCCACCAAACAAATTAGTACATTATACACATATTCAGCCTCATTCAAGTTTTCTGGACACAGACAGAATGTAGCCAGTTTCTCTACTAAAATAAAATTCAAATGGCTTCAAAGACAGTTCCCAATAAAGGCTTTATTCCCCTCTGAAACATCATGAGCTAGGCCTCCACTCTTCACATTTCCCTTGGCATTGTGGTCTTCCAAACTCCCACAGAATGGTCCATCAAGCTCTTCTTACAACATTTCAGACCTTTTCTAGCCCAAAGTTCCAAACTCTTTCACATTCCTCCCACAAACCATTCCTAAAGGTTTAAGAACCATTGATCAGGCATATCATAGTAACAGCCTGACTTCTTGGTAACAATTTTCTACATTCGTTACTTTATATATTCTTGGGACAAAATACAAAAACTAAAGAAATGAAGGGTTTATTTGGGCTCATAGTTCTAGGAAATACAGTCCATCAGGGTAGGAAAGTCACAGTGGTAGGAGTAGGAGGTGGCTGATCACATTGCATCCACAGTCAGGAAGCAGGAAATGATAAATGCTGTTGCTCAGCTAGATTTTTCTATTTTATGCAGTCAGAGAAGGCAGCCTGTGGAAGGGTCCTCATCACATTCATGGTAGGTATTCACACTTTAATTAACCTAATATAATCTTTTACAGATATGTTAAAAAGCAAATCTCCATGATAATTTGAGATTGTGCCAAGATGACAATATTAAACATCACAAGTAATAACCCTCAATGCAGCTGTATTTGATATAAATAAATACGGCTAAATGAAGGCATAAGGGTTGAATTCTAATTTGAAGGAACTGGTGTTCCTATAAGAAAAGACACCAGAGATCCAGCACCCTCTGCCACATGAAGACACAGCAAAAAAACAATCATCTGTCAGCCAGAAAAATAGCACTTACCAGGAGCTAAATAGGTAGATACCGCAATCTTTACCTTCCTAGTCCCCAGAACTTTGAGGAATAAATGCCTGTTCTTTGAGCTACCCAGTCAATGGTAATTTCTTTATAGCAGTCGAGCTCTGGAAAGATTCAGGATTTATTTAAAGGAGCATGAGATAGCTGGGGGTGGTGGCTCATGCCTTTA